AAAATGTTATGATGACTCACAGAGAAAAAAAATGTGACAATGAGTGTGTATATGTCCATGAATGACTGAAAAATTGTGCTAAACACTGGAATTTGATACAATATTGTAAAGTGATTATAAATCAATAAAAAATGTTAAAAAAAAAAAAGAAATGTAGCTAGCATGAGGTTGAGGGGGAGGGTATAGCTCAGTGGTAGAGCACATGCTTAGCACACATGAGGTCCTGGTCTCAATCCCTAGTACCTCCATTAAAAAAGAAAGAAAAAAAAGAGAAAAAATGTTTTTAAATGTAGCTAGTATGACTGAAATGAAATGTTAAATTTTACTGAATTTTAATTTAATTTAAATAGTCGCACGTGGTAGGGGTGATATTTAGCTCAAGTAGTAGAGTGCATGACTAGCATGCACAAGGTCCTAGGTTCAATCCCCAGTATCTCCTCTAAAAAATAAATAGATAAGTAAACTGTATTACCCTCCCCCGCAAAATAAATAAATAAATAAAGTCACATGTGTCTAGTGGCCACTGTGTTGAACACTGCAAGTTTAGTAGGCATTCCATGAGAATTGTCCCACAGGTAGATATATTTCTAATGTATTTGTGGGAGACGATCAGCTCCGTGTCCTTCTGTTCCGCCATCTTGAAGCCCGTCTCCCAGTGCAAGTTTAGAATAATGAATTCAACTCATCCATCAAAGTAAGTCATGTAAATCTGTTCAAAGAGCCAGTACTAGAAACTAGCTCCCATGACATGCACTCCCTATCCTAGACTGTCAGAGAGAAGGTTAAATGCAAGGGGGAAGGATATAGCTTAGTGGGAGAGCACTTGCCTTGCATGCACAAGGTCCTGGACTCAATTCCCAGTACCCCCATTTAAAAAAATAAACTTAATTACCCCCCCAAAAAAAGAATATTAAATTCAAAGTCCATCTGATGGAAAAACAAAGATCACTTGAGCGTTAGGTGAGAGTTAGGCAGAGAAGGGCTGGAGAAGGTTGGTGTAATTCAGGGATGATAAACACATTTGTCACTTCCAGAGTCCTGAGTCCCACCTCTCAGAGGTTTGCCTCATCTTGATCACAAGGCCAAGGGAAGTCAAGATTATTGAAAAGGTAGATAATAAATGAGCTTAAGGTCCTTTAAGCTTTACTTCCCTTTGACCCTCCAGGGAGGAGAGGATTCAGTAAGAACTCCAAGCATGGCTGACTGGTTGATCCCCTTAAAATCTCTTTCAGAAAGAAATCAAACACAGACCAGGAAGTTTGTCCCTGATCTTTCCAATCAGGAGACATCTCATGGTTGTAGAATTTATTTTTTAGGCAAATAAGTGTTAATTTCCTCAGGTACAATGTGAGAGCTGTATTACATTTTCATGCAGTGTGACTTTAGAAGGTGTTCAAGGCGTGAAGAAGCCTTGCTGTCACAGCTGCTGCTCACGGTGAGAGGACTCCAAGTCCGCGGGAAACCCAGAGAGCTTTGTGTTTTTTCCCAACAAATAACAGTCTGTGCAATTATGCTTGAATATTTAAAGCTCAATACTGTCTCACTGGGAGCTTCAGGCTACTCCTACAATCTTCTCTTAGTGATTCCATATTGAAAAGTCCCAACGATCTGTTACAAAGATTGCAAAAAAAGGAATGCAGAGATGTCACCAGCCCTCGGAAAAGCAATCCATCTTGCGATGACAATTACCACTCAGAAGACCACAGCCGAAGGAGACAAAGCAAGATGCAGAGTCAGTAGAACAGCCCCACATTTACAAAAGCACCTGAGAGCCTGGTAACACATTCAGAAGGATAGCATTTTTTAATATCTATTTTATGTCATTTGAGGTTAAGCTTTGGGAGAAAAAAAAAATGAAGTGCCCACCATTTGCAAAAAGCTGCCAGATTCTAAGGTCCCCTGAAAAGAATCATTTCCCTTTGGTTAATTATGAAACTCCTGTAATATTTTCTTTTAATATTGTCACTACCACTAGATTCCTGGCAAGGTTATCATTTTTGGCTTAAAGAATGCATTACCAATTCTCTGTGACTTGACGCCAAAACTTGCCGCAAGGAAGATGATCCCCCAAAATGTCTTCCAAGTATCCATTCTAGATGTGCCCCTAGAGAAAAGAAACCTCACAATTAAATTTATGCCTCACACACTTAAAGTGAGTGCATCACATTGTTTATTCATTATACCTCAATACAGTTGATTTTTCTAAAAAAATGCTACCATGTCTTTCCCCAGACCAACAAAAACTTTGTAAAAATAAAGGAGGACATATTGCCACATCATTTCAGTTGTGCGAGGAAAATGGTCTTGCCGACCCAACTCAGGAAGAATTTTGTAAACTCTTGGAGTATATACCTCAGACCTCAACTGTTTAGAGTTGTCCAGATATGGCTATAAAAGGAGAAAGTATATAGGGTATGAAGTAGAGCTACTGTTTCTCACACTCAATTCATTTGGTGGAACATAAACATTTCTGGATGATTTTGCTTGTGTTTTTATACAAGCGTTGGATGACCTGATAAACATTGTGGCATGCAGAAATATTCAAGTAGCTCAGAAGCACATCTGCCTGATAAAATCAGCATAGCCTGAAAATATTTTTTAAGTTCCCAGAGGAAGCAGAACACCAGACTTCCCTCCCAGAAGTTTGATCTATTTTTGAAGGCTCTCAGGTAAATGATCCACTCCCAATTCCATTTCTAATTTTTGACTCTAAGAAAGTCCATATGTTTAAAAATAAGAACAACACAGCAATCATATTGAATGAGCTGTTCCAACTGGAGCAGGGAACACCTCATCTTTATCTTCTTAGCAAGCCAACCTCACAGCCATCCTCAGCAGAATTAGTGGGGTTAAAAAGATTCTTGGAGACAGACTGTCTGGGTTTGAATCCCAGATCTGCTGCTTAAGGGTTGCTCTTGGGCCAGTTGCTTCACTTCTCAGTTTCCCCATTTGTAAAATGGGGGCAATAATAACACCTACCTCATAGTCTTGTGATCGGGGTCATATGAGTTCATTATTGTAAGGCATTTTAACCCACACCTGGTTCATGGAAAGCACTCTTTAATTGCTCGTTAAATAAGTCTTCTTGGAAACCCAATATGTAAAAGTAGAAGCATATTCCCCCTACTTTGAGACTCAGAGTCTGTGGAGGTAAAAGAACACTAATGCTTTGTTATTAATAAAGCAGTTATTTTGTTGTTTATATTTTACTTCCTCTTTTTTATTTAATTGGTCTCATTTTCATTTTCAGTTGGTTGCTGCTTTGTGCTAATATCTCCATGTTCCTCACCTCAAATCTGGGAAAGGCCAGCAAAGAAGGCCTTCCTCTGTACCTTTTGTTGATAGAAATGAAGAAATCAGGTCCCAGAAAAGTGTAAGATGCATCCCCGGGCTACACAGGCATACACCGTCAGGTTCTGTTCCAGGTGACCTGACTTCAGGTCCAGCGCATGGCTGGACGTCTACTTCAAACCCTTCAGTGAAAATCTCCAAGTCCAGACTCACTCAGCTCCCCAGAGTCCACGTCATGCAGAATGAAGACCTGGGAGCAATTTGCCTTGGGGTAAGAGGTGAGCTCAAGCCCTTTATTCACCAATTCGGTCTTCGAGGAGCCCGATACTTTGTCCAAAACACGGTAAGAGGTGCTCCAGAGAATGGAATTACAAACCTTGCTTTTGTGTTTAGAGATGTGAACTATCCTTGCGGAGAGAGAAATTTTACCTACTGGACACAATAAGAAATATCCAGTAAACTTTAAAGGACTTTCTTTAAACTCATCAAAGAGCTTAGGCAAGAATCTCACAGAGTCTAAGTCACTTTGCAGTCTTGGGCCGTTTAAGCAGAATATCGTGTGGAAATGATATCACGATGCCCAGAAACAGCAGCCACACAACAGCTGAGGTCCTCTTTGCAGAAGGAGTAAGTGCATCCACCCTGCTTCCCTAAAGACACACTTCTACTGTGCATTTACTCTTTGAGAACGACTCAAGGGTGTGAGATAACTTCATTAGATTTATTATTTTATGCCAACAGAAAATGCTGGGTGAAGTCATGACTTCAAAGGAAGCCCACAGCCCTTGATTCTGGTTTCAGCCTGATCTCTGGCTCTTTGGAGCTGAGCAAGCTGGCTCCCCTCTCAAGGTTTATGTGGCACTTGCTGGGTGACACCTAGTGTCCTGCCCACTCTATTACAAACCTTCTCCAGCATATCGATCCAGTGATTTTTCCAATAAGTAGATGTGATAAAATTGGATTTCTCTGTTCCTCATTGATGTTTCTACATTAATCTCCCATTGTAACTTGAAAGAAAATACTTTAGGAATAAATTTTCTCAGAAGCAAAATGAAAGACAAATGACAAACTGGGAGAAAACTTTCCAACTCACATAATGGGCAAGGTGCTAATAGTCTTAAAATATAAAAGTTTCTTTAAAAACATAGCAAAAACCCCAATGACCCAGTTGAATAATAGACAAAGGACATAAATAGTTAACAGAAAAGGAATATAAATGGCTTTAAACTTGTGCAAAGATATTGTCTCATTCATAATAAGTTGCAGATAGGAATTGCTGCGTAAATTGTAAATTAATACAAACTTTTAAAATGTTAAATGCACGTGACCTTTACTCAAGAATTTCATCCCTAAGAATTTATCCTACAGATACAATTGCATTATGATGTATATACAGGGTTACCCATTACACTATTGTTTGTAATAGCAAAAAAAAGGAAACTGCTCAAATATTTATCAATAAAGACTAGCTACGTTTTTGTAAAAAAAAAGAATAAAGGTTCTATTTTTCAACAAACTTTCATCTAATGGCAAATAAATGAAAGTGTGAATCTTAAAGAATGGACTGTTCTAATGGGTTAAGGGCAATATGAGGGTAAAGAGTCTGAAAGTTTGAAAGGGCCAGAAAGAATGATCCAAGTTAAATTCATATGTTATGACTATGATTATTATGATTGCTATTATTACAATAAGATATTGTACTTCAATTTTTCAAGCTCTTGGGTCTAAGAAGTTAGATGATATATAAAGCTTTCAAGTATGGTATCCACATTTTTATATTATACTATGTCCTAATTATTAGCATTAATGCAATTAGTCAAAAGAAATGAGAAATACTTTTAGTCAGTGGTAAATAAAGCAATGGAGCTGTTTATGGAAACCTAGTGGAAAAGTCAAACATTTATAAACATTTTACAGCTGTGCATATGCGTGTGTTATATCAGTGAAGAGAAAAATGTCTGTAGATTGACTTAGTACCTACATCGTATCTACTATTTCATGAGGATGTTTATATCTAATTTAAGCTGCGGAAGGGGGATTGAATTTACACATGTAGGATTCACCATGGAGGCAAAAAATAAAGTCATTAAATGAATTGCATAGGATACTGACTCTTTCTGGAAATAATTCTAGTGAGTTTGGGTTAGAGAGAAACTCCTCTCAAACTATGTTGCTCAAGTAGTTAACTGAACAATCTAATTTTTAAGATTAATTCATTCAATTTTTAAAAATTTACTTTGCAACCACCGTGGGAATCACTGATTCAGGGAAGAATCATTGAGAGATTTTAACATTGTTGGGTAAAAGTGTGTTGGGAAACAGAATTTTATCACAGTTTTCAAGTTTCTCCTGACAAGTTATTATATATTGCAACGGGCAAAAATTATACATTACAAAGGGCAAAAAAGTACAATGGTGAACATGGTGGACACTTCACCAGGTGATCAAAATTAATATCAACAGGAAGAGGATAAACTAATACCACACGCTTCCTGACATGATGCATGAGAAAACTCAGCATCACTTATATGGTAGTCCTCCTCAAAATCCATGCTCTAGATCTAATAATGAGGAAATGATCATATAAATCAAAACTTGGGGACAGCCTTCTAAACAACGGGCCAGTGCCTCTCAAAAACACAGAAAAACTGAGGAACCAGTCTCACGAGTCGTGACAACTAAAAGCAGTGGGTGATGTTGGATTGGGGATAAAAGTGCTATCAAGCGCCTTCAAGAGACAATAGGTAAAATTTTAATATAGACTGAAGATTACATAATTATTCTGTTTCAATCGTTGAATTATAGTCATGTAAGACAAAGTCCTTGTTGTTAAGAAATATACACCAGGAGGGTGGGTATAGCTCAGTGGTAGAGCACACTTGTAGCATGCAAGAGGTCCTGGGTTCAATCCCCAGTACCTCCATAAAAAAAAAAAAGAAATATATATGATGTATTATGGGGCAGAGGGTCTTAAAGTCAGTAACTTACTCTCAAATGTTCAGCAGAATTAATTCAGAGAGAGGGAAAGGGGAGAGGAATAAAACATTCAATATTCTTGTTACTTTATTATTATGTCTAGTGCTTGGCAGACAATATGTCAGGCACTAGAAATAACAGATTAAATAAATAGTTCTTTTCCTCAGAGGACTTGGAGCTCTCATGGAGAGAAAGAGATGGATAAATTACAATATCATGGAGTGAACAATATAATATTGAAATCCCTGCAAGGTCCTGAGGAACACGGTGGGTGAGCATCTCCCATCACTTGGTTAAAAGCTTCCCAGAACAAGATATCGTTGGAGCTGAGACTTGAAGGATGAGTAGAAATTTGCAAGTGAGCAAGAGGAGAAAGGGCGCTCCAGGCAGAAGGACAGCGTGTGCAAGGACGGCGGAGAGGTATTAGACAGCCCAAACAGGGCTCATCCAATGCCTCCGGAGCTAAGGTTTGGCATGCAGGGGACTTGTTAAGGGGACGTGGTGCTCACACACCTGTGCTGTCTAAGGTATGGTGGGTCTAATGGAGACCTCGGTTTTCCGAAATGCCTGAGACAAGGTGGGATGGAAGAGGACCTGGACAGAGTTTCTCAGTCTTCAACCATAAAGCTCCTTCACTTCATTTAATTAGACCAGCAGTGCTTTCTATACCGGTCTCCTTCAAGGTGTCTGTTCTTTCCCTGTAGACCCCTCGACAATAAAATGAAAAGTTCTCCATCTCTAATGATCTAGGCCAGGGGCTCCCAGACGTGAGCATTGTGTCGGCATCGCCCAGAGGACCTCTCAGAGCCCAGCTTCCCGGACCTCACC